TACTCAGGGCGGATCTCATCCACCCCTGGTGCTTTGCCACCGAGAAGCTTCTTGACTACCTCAGTGACTTCAGCTTGGGTGATGGACGAGTCCACCTTCAAGCCCTCAGCCTCTGCTTCCTCATCAGAAGACATGGCACCGGGATTGAGGAGATCCTGGACGTATTCCTTCCACCATCCGACAATGTCCCCAGTTGAGAGACCTATCCCCGACCCGAAGGCGCAGGGAAGCGACCCTCTCGTTCACAGGGGTAAACTCCAACACATGGCGGCTAAGCTGGGGAGCTATGAGCAAGCCCACACATTTCAAAATAATTCTGTGCCACTTTATTCACACTGTATGTCATTTTATATTAAATAGCAGCAGTAACAGCTGCGGAGATTATGTTTCTAGTCCTGTGAAAATTGGCTGCGGCAGTCAGACCTTCACTGTAAAGTGCAAATTGGATCCTTAGCGATATCTTACTGTGTGTTCTTTTATTAGAAAGTTTTTGTTTTTCCTAAAGGCTGGGAAATATGGAGGCAGCAATGGAAATTATTAAAGATACTACTACAATATTTTTGGCTGCCAGTTCAGAAGGCTCATGTGGCTGCTCAGCGCAGAGTCACAGACATCCAGTGACGCCCAGGAGGATGGAAGAGGATGGGCCCGATAAAGGGGACCCACACTGAGAAGGCTGGTAGCTGGGTTACAGTAACTGTCTGAGGATGTAGAGGATGCTCTGAGAAGTAGTGCAGACTCCTCTGAAGCACAGCCATGATCATGTTATTGATCCACGCCATACCTGGCATTCTGTTGGCTGGAGGTGAGTGGGATTGTGGGAACTTTGTGCAAAAAGACGTACAGTCCTTAGCATGAGCAGACAAATCTGCGTGTGAGGACAGGGTTTTAGAGAAAGCGTTACAAAATCTGAACATGAAATCAAGATCTCGTGCTCTCAGATTGAAAGATCACGCAATTGAATACAAATAAACCCCCATAGAGAGAGAGAAAGCAGCACACACCCATCACAGAATGAAATTACAGTATGAGAGGAAGTGAGAAGGAGGACGTGTTAGCATTTGATAAGTAAAATATACTGTTCAGCAAAGCTCTCAGGGCTGTGTTAAACTACAACACTGTACCACTTAAAACAACCTGAATGATTGGATAGATTTCACATAGCTCACATTGAACTTTCACACTTAGCCATAACAAGTGACCCTTAACCTTAACCACATGTTTACTACTGTAACCCTGGCAACAAAGGTTCCCTAACCTAAATATAGTCGTTTGAACCCAAACCATGATGTTTACTAAACGTGGGGCCAAACACGGTTGCCTTAACCAAATCATAACCACGGTGCTGTCGCATCACACAACACGTGTAAAATTTGAAAGTGATTTGTAGTGTTGTCTGCACTGACATGTTAAGGTTCTGCTGTTAGGGGCGTATTAGCAGAGAGGCTCAGTACCAACACTTTGAGATTCAGCAGATTTGCTCAGTGATAACATTTCCACTATATGCTGATATAAGACAATTGATCTGTTTTAGCCTGATATTAACAGTGAATCAGGCTAGAACATTGGGAAATGATTCTAATAATAAAATAATTCTGCACCAGAATAAACAGGTAAATATGTTTCCTAGGTACTAAGTACACAGTTGAT